CGCCCGGCCTCAGCGCCCCCAGAGCGCCTTCCACGGCCCGGTCGGTGTGGGGCGCCCGCGCCGTAGGAGCCCGGAGCCCGGCGCGGCGGCGTGGGCACCGCGGCAAGGGCGGACTCCGCGGCTTCTCGCCCTCCGCCTGCCGTAGCCAAGCAGGGCGAGCGGCGCCGAACGGTCGAGGTTGGGGCGATCAAAGTCGGGGTGAACGCAGAGCGGGGCCCCGACTCCCCTCCCCGTCGGCGCGCTCCCCGCATCCCGACCCTCTGGGCGAGAGGTTGCGGCTTCAAGCGGTTGCCTTCCCAGGATTTAACGTTAGGGTCGGGAATGTGAGGGGCGCGAGTGCCGGGGGGGAGGCGGTCCCGGGCGCAGGCGCCGTGCTTTGACTCCTGGCCAAGGAAGAATCGGGGCGCGATCGCTACCTCGCCGTCCGCCCAGACCACAGTGGGAAACAATGAAAAGTCTCGAAGTGGAGACGTAAAGCCGACTCGTCGCGATGGGGTGCGGGTGGCCAGGACCCCCGGCCGACGCAGAGGGCTTTCCCGGCCTTGCGCTGGCACCGGGCGTAGCGCCCCCAGCCGGAGGAGCGGTCCGGGTCTGGCTGGGTCTCTGCGCTGGGGTAAGGCCGTCGGGCCTGGGCGGGTCTTAGCCTGCGAGGCAGCCGGGGGTTCGGGCTTGGCCTAGGTTCCAGAGCGGGGACGAATGAAACGCACCCGAAAGGACACGGACTGGGGGCGCTGGAAGCCGAGGGGGGACACGGGTCCGCAGTGGGGACGCCCCTTGGCGCTCCGGTCCACGGCCACGGCGCTGGGGGTGAGGGGCTCCCCGCTAGACGCTTTGAAGCGGTAGGAAATCACCCCTTTTGACCTAAAGGCCTTGTTTTGGGGTTTTCCCTGCCACCCTGGCCTTCCCCAACCTCGCCTGGAAGGAAGCCGAGAGGCTTCTTCCTGCCGCACCTGCTGCTCCAGAGGCTCAGCCTGTCTGCGCGGCGAGATAGGCAGGGCCCGGAGCGTGCAGTCGCCGTCGGTCACCTGGAGGGGGCGGGATTTAGGGTCATGCCTGCTGCAGGGTACCCCTCGCTGTCCTGCCACACTGGGTGTGGGGTTTGCAGGGAAAACCGCAGACTCAAAACTCGGGAAGCAGCAGGGGCCCCCACCTCTGCCTAGTGCTTCTTAGATCACTGCACGTTCGGCTCCAACCTCGCCCATGGGACCCTGGATGCTCTGGGTCTTCTCCTGGGACTTCAGCAGGTCCCTGGGATGACTGTGGGGAACTTGCCACCCCAGCAGGGCTCCAGGGCCGCCCCCCCCATGCTTCACTGCCTGATCCACTTGTGGGGGCTTCTTGCGATCCTCAGCAGCCCACGCCCCTACTGATGTTTCCATAGCAGGTAATGGTTCCCTGCTTCAAGGGCTCACAGAGTCATAAAGCTGGGGTGGGGGTGAGGGGAGGTCCATGAATCTAGAGAGAGGCAGGCGCGTCCAGACATCGGGAATTCAGATCTCACAGGCACAGGGATGGTCGGAAACCCCTGGTCCCGCCTAGGGGAAGGACCTGGCTACAGATGGAATGGATGGCTTTAGGGACCCACTTAAGAAATCTCCTCCATTCCCTCCCTCCCAGCCTCCCTCCCTCGGCGCACAGTGAGTCAGATTTCTGAGTTGTCCACTTTCATTTCCCCTGGGGCTGGGTGGAGGTTGGTGTAGAAAGAGGAACTAAGCCACAGCCTTCTGGGGGTTGAGGGGGAGGCAGGGCTGGAGTCTTCCCACCCTCTCTGGTAGGGGCTGGCTTTACTCTTCATGGGCTGAGCTGGACACTTCTCTGAAGCCTGCAGAGGGACATTATGGCGGCCTGGAGGTAGCATGTAGCAGCCACAACCCCAAAAGGTCCTTGTGGAGAACTTCAGGGGGAAACTGAGGCTCTGTGCTACTAGGACCAGCTCTACCCGTCATTCCTTAATCACTGAGCAACAGATAAATTTCTGAGAACCTGGTAATATGATTGCTCCCCCTTCCTGGGCCCATGCAGTAAAGGCCAAGGGCATGGGCAAGAGAAAGAAAGAAACTGCCAGGGAGTGGAGGGGCTCCAGACTAAAGTTTTAGGTTCTGGTGCTGGAGAGTGGGTGAGCAGAGGGGGAGCCCAAAGGAGCTGCAGTGTCAGTGTGTCATGATCTGCTGCCCTGACTTGAGTGAGGCAGAGATTTTTGGCCTGGGGTTACTCACCATGGGGAGCTGCACTTTCTGCAGCTGTGTTGTCAGAGGCCCACAAATATCAGGGGCTCCCTAGTACTGAAAGAAGCTGGTTCATACCTATAATCGTCCTCACAGGCTGTGGCAAGAGGATCTCCTTGAGTTGAGGCCAGGATGGTCTACATAGTGAGTTTAGGACCAGTGTACACTACACAGAGAGACCCTGACCCTGTCCTAAAACACCAGCCCCCAAAACAAAAAATGAAAAACAACTGAAGCCCAAACCCAAACAAAAAACCAGCTAAGTACTGAAAGAATGAGTCCAGTAGGAGGAGAAAGGGCAGACAAGAAACTAGGAAATTGATGGCTTCAGGCAGGGCAAGGCCTCAGCTTGGTGGCAGCTGTCCTTGCTGGAGGCAGGTTGAGTGGGTTGATGGGATTTATCTAAGGAGCAGGGGCTTCATCCCTGAGGGAAGCCAAGGAAGAAGAAAAGTCTTCCCACTGAATTCAGACACCCTTCCACTGTTCCCTTGGCCTGCTATTGTTTCCTAGAAACCAGTGGTTGGGTTCTTGTCTAGAGGATTAGTTGGGATTCTCAGAGGAAGGAGGCTGAGAACAGGGAGAGGGCAAAGCTGAGCAGGTTGGGGTGGGTCAGGCTAATCCTAAGAGCTGTTCACCTGTAGCTGTCCACACTTGGAGCAAGCAGGCCAGGCTTTTGTCACCATAGCTGCTGTTGGGTCTGCCCCTCTAGAGTGAGATGTGGCCTGACTTGCAAGGGAGGCAGCTGAAGGCAGTTCTGTGGCATGGGAGCAGCTGGTGCTTTTATTATCTGGCCAAAGGATGCCCCAGTCTGGTACAGGGCCTAGGGTGGGACTGTCCAAACATCCACCAGTGCTGAGATCTCTTTCCTTCCCCTTTCCTGCCCAGCACCCAACACAAAGCACAGATTCTGTGCCTTGGAAGCTAAGAGTTGGAAAGAGAACTGGCCTTGAACACTTGGGTGGGTCCACTGTCCCCAGGTCAGCTATCTCCCTGGCCCTCATGGAGTATTTAGCTGCTAATTTGCTGAGCTTGTGCCCTGGCTTTCCCTGCAGAGCCCTTTGCCATGAACCAGCCACCTCCTGGGGCTCCCCTTCAGCCACGCCGTGTGCGGTTGAAGCCCTGGCTGGTGGCCCAAGTGAACAGCTGCCAGTACCCTGGGCTTCAGTGGGTCAACGGCGAAAGGAAATTCTTCTACATCCCCTGGCGGCATGCCACAAGGCATGGTCCCAGCCAGGATGGGGACAACACCATCTTCAAGGTAAGCCCTGGATGGGTGCTGCCTGTACCTCTGAGGCCTCTGCTCCCCAGGAAAGGGACACACCCAAGCTCTTCTCAAGGCTGGTCTGCTTCACAGCTACCTTGCTCAGGTGATGCCAGGCCTAGCCTGTGGGGACGCAGGTCTAGCCACAAGTCTTTTTTATTAAGCTGTACCACTAGCTAGTCATGTTAGTGCATACTTATAATCCCAGCACTAAGGAGGCTGAGGCAGGAAGATCGCTGTGAGTTTGAGGCCATCCTGGGCTTCATAGCCTGAATTACATAGCAAGGCTCTGTTTCAGAAAATCAAAAATAAAATAATGATGAACTTGCCTGTACCTCAGATCAAGGTGGTAACAGAATGTCTCTAGAGACCCTGCAGTAACTCCCCCTACCTAGTCCTTGTTTTTGTACCACCTGCATTACACAGGAGTACATGTTCAGTACACATACAATAAATGAAGCTCCTAGTTCATCTGTAATCTTAAACCTAGGAGATATCTACTTCCATAGTTTTGTAACAGAAAATATAGCTGCTAATACTTTCACTTTTCTACATGTGCATATAAAATACAAAATAACAATCATATATATATTTTATGTATTTGGTACAGGGTCTCACTATGTAGCTCGGACTTGTAGTGATCCGCCTGTTTTCAGCCTCCCCAGTGCTGGAATTACAGGTATATGCCACCATACCCAGACATGGTCACCGGCTCAGTGCACCTGGGCGTGGGACCGGAGTGGCATGAGGTATAGGGTATAGAACCTGTACCAGGGATTGAACTGTGGTCCTTGCACTTGCCTAAGCAGGCTCTTAGTCTGCTGAGCTGTCTTGCCCGCCCCATATATTGTATTAACCTGCATATTTTCACTCAACATCAGGATCAGTTTTCCTTTCTAATATAGGTCCACGTCACGTAGTGACTGGGCTGTTATCTCAGGAGTGAACACAATTCAGTCACCCAGTCCTAGCTTGGGACAGTACAGGCTGCTATTACAGCGTTAGTGTTAAAGCCTAGAGTGCCACGTTGACTCTCAGCTTCTGTCTTTTATTCATTTTAGGTGATTTCTTTGTGGGATTTGTTCCTTGCTAAAGTTTTTTTCAAATCCTTTTCTTATTTTTGTGTAAATAACATAGTCACATAATTTAAAATAGAAAGATGTGAAATAGTTCGTAGCATAGTCTCCTCTCCTCAGCCATCCAGTCTCCTCCCCAGAGGCAGCAACAGTGTTAACAGGTTCTTTTTTTTTTTTTTTTTTGAGACAGGTTCTTGCTGTATAGTTCAGGATGCCCCTGAACTCACTATGTAGCCCATACTGTGCTCAGACTTGCAGTAGTCCTCCTGTCTCAGCCTCCCAAGTACTAACATGACAGGCCTGTGCCATCATGCCCAACAACCATCTCTCTTGAGAGATTTCTTTGCATCTATAAATGGATACCTTCCTATTGATCCCCTCCCCCTTTTTAAAAAATTTTGTGTGTGTGTGTGTGTGTGTGTGTGTGTGTGTGTGTGTGTGGCCAGCTCAGCCCACCAGGGGGCGGGGCTGGCTGGCATGTGGTGCTGGGGGATTGAACCGCGGTCCCTGTGTTTTGCTTAGTTTAGCTTGTTCTAAGTAGGTGCTTTAGACCACTGAGCCATCTCACCAGGCCCCCCCCCCTCCTTTTTTTGAGATAAATTCTTGCTATGTAGTTCAGGCTGGCTTTGAACTCACCATATAGCCCAGATTGGTCTCAAACTCAAGGCGATCCTCCTGTCTTAGCCTCCAGAGAGCTGGCATTACAGGCATGTGCCACCATGCCTGGCTCTACTTTTCAAGAAATGGTAGAGGCAGACATACTCTTCGCGCTTCATAGTTCTTGAAGAGCACCTGACAGTACATATCCCCCCCATTCCATCCTGAGAGTTGATCAAAATTTAACCAGGCCTCATGACAGACGTTGGATATTACACTCTTGCTTTTACAGATGGCACTGGAGTAAATAACCTTGTATGTGCAGTTTTGCATGCATGCTTTTTTTTTTTTTTTTTTTTTTGTGGAACTGGGGATTGAACTCAGGCCCTTGCACTTGCCAGGGTAGCACTTATTCCACTGAGCTATCTCCTAAGCCTGCATACATGCTTTTGGATTCTGCATGTATGATCCCATAGAAATCAGATTGCTAGGTAAAGCATGGAAACATATATCCCCGATAAGGGTGTCTGCAATTTTTAAATCTAGGAACTAGCCCCAAAGAAATCATTTAGGACAAAGAAGTGTCCAGGGTGATGTGGTTTTTTAACACTGAAACTCCAAAATCCTAATCCTGGGCAGAGGAGTGGCTCAGCAACAGAGCTGGTGCTTAGCAAGCACAGGACTTTGGTTTCCCTTTTTTTTTGTTTTTGGCCAGCTCAGCCCACCCTGAGGGCAGGGCTGTGGCAGCATGTGGAGCTGGGGATCAAACCGCGGTCCTCTGTGCTTGCCTAGGCAGGCGCTTTAGACTGCTGAGCTATCTCACCAGCCCAAAGCACATGACTTTAGGTCTGCAGATCTCTAGCTACATCACACTACATACCACCCTAGAGACTGGACGCATTTGCCTTTCCTGGAGCAGTAAATATGGATGCCCCTCAAAGCCCATAGATTTTGTTGAGCTTGTTGGCACCCCAGGAGCTGGAGAAGGAATCTAGGCCCTAGATTCCTGTTATACGTGTCCCTCATCTAGGCGGAGCTCAGCCAGTGACTGAAGTTCTTTTCTGTGGGACACGAGGCTGGCTTGATCCTTGGTGAGGACCAAGGTTTTCTGTAGTCAGCTGTCCTTTCTTCCTACCCAGGCCTGGGCCAAGGAGACAGGGAAGTACACTGAGGGGGTGGACGAGGCTGATCCTGCCAAGTGGAAGGCCAACCTACGCTGCGCCCTCAACAAGAGCCGAGACTTCCGCCTCATTTATGACGGACCCCGGGACATGCCACCTCAGCCCTACAAGATCTACGAGGTCTGCTCCAATGGCCCTGCTCCCACAGGTATCCTGCCTGGTCTTGTGTGGGCCCCTGGGAGGCTGTGCAGCCAGGAGGTCCCCCGACCCCACCATGGAGTGGTCCAGGACTCCCAGAAATGGCTTAGAATGGTGTCAGAGGCCTGATTCTTTTTCCTTGCCACTGCCCTTATTCTGGTCTCTTGGCTGCTGGCAGTGCCCTTCACCTCGCTGTGTCCCAGGCTGGCTTGACACCTGCTCTGCCACTGACTCCCCTGTCTTCTTCTCTCCCTTGACTGCAGAGTCCCAGCCTCCAGAAGATTATACTCTGGCCACAGGAGAGGAGGAAGAGGAGGAAGAGGAAGAGGAGGTGTGTGGGGAGGGTAGTGGGGAGGTTGGGGTTTACATGGTGAGGTTGGGGTTTAGAGTGGCCAGTGAGGCGGCCCTGCTTCGGGATGGAGCAGTCCCTTCCTCGGGTATGTCTCCTGGGTTCTGACCAAGGCTGTGTCACTGAAGCACATCCTTGTGTCTGGTCAGTTTACTAATCTGTTTTTCCTTTGTCTCTCTGCCTTCCTCCCTCCTCCCTTGCCTGTATCTTCCCTTCAGCTCCAGAGGATGTTACCAGGCCTGAGCCTGACAGGTAGGGCTGGGAGGCGGCATGCCTGGAGGTCTTGCATATGGAGAAGCCACGGGTAAAACGGGGCTGAAGGGAGGCAGGTCAGCTAGTCCTGGAGGTGGTATTAACAACTTTGTCTATTCTACCCTCTGTAGAAGCAGTGCAGCCTGGTCCCTCTGTGGCACCCTATTTACCTAAAGAAGATGTCAAGTGGCCCCCTGTTCTTCCACCGCCTGTGGGGCCTCCTGCCTTAGACCCCAACCTCCTGGTTACTGCATCTGGCAACCCTGCTGGCTTCGGGCGTCTTGCTGAAGCCTTGCCCAGCCCTGTGCCCCTGGCTGACGCCCTGCCCCCTGCAAGTGAACAGCTGTTGCCCAACCTACTGATCAGCCCGCACATGCTGCCTTGTAAGGCCCTACCATGGGCTGGGTGGGCTGGGCAGGGTAAGCAGTACAGGCTGTTGGGGCAGGGTCTTCAAGAAAAGCAGAGGCTGGCAGAGAAGGGAACAAAAGCAGGTGCATGTCCTCCCTGCCCAAGTGCCATGGGGAAGTAGGAGTGCCGAGGAGGCTAGGCTTACTCCCTGGCTGCAGAATGGGAGACGCAGGGCTCATGGGTGGGTGGCCCCCTCTGCCCTACAGTGACCGACCTGGAGATCAAGTTCCAGTACCGGGGGCGGCCACCCCACGCCCTCACCATCAGCAACCCACAAGGCTGCCGGATCTTCTATAGCCAGCTAGAGGCCACTCAGGAGCAGGTGGAACTCTTTGGCCCCGTGAGCCTGGAGCAAGTTCGCTTCCCTAGCCCTGAGGACATACCCAGCGACAAGCAGCGCTTCTATACAAACCAGCTGCTGGATGTCCTGGACCGTGGGCTCATCCTCCAGCTGCAGGGCCAGGATCTGTACGCCATCCGCCTGTGCCAGTGCAAGGTGTTCTGGAGTGGGCCCTGTGCCATCACTCATGGCTCAACCCCGAACCCCATTCAGCGGGAAGTCAAGACCAAGCTCTTCAGCCTGGAGCAGTTTCTTAATGGTGAGGCCCACAGGTCCTTCCTGGCCGCCTCTCACCCAGGGCATGGTTCCAGCCTCTGACCAGGGTGTTTGATCTTGATGCAGACCTCATCCTATTCCAGAAGGGCCGCACCAACACCCCACCTCCCATTGAGATCTTCTTCTGTTTCGGGGAGGAGTGGCCTGACCAAAAGCCACGAGAGAAGAAGCTTATTACTGTCCAGGTGTGTACCTGCACCCCACCTTGATGGGAATACTTTGGGACATGGCTGGGACTCGCTGGGGAGTACAGACTTGGCTGCCAGAGACAGTCAAAGCCCAGGGCTGGAGGAGAGGCATCTGCCACATGCCCCTGGTGAAAGCCCTTGTGCACAGATGGGTCTGGCAGCCCTGCCTTTGCTCTCCCTCATCCTGTCTTTACCCCCAGGTGGTGCCTGTCGCAGCCCGGTTGCTTCTGGAGATGTTCTCAGGGGAGCTTTCTTGGTCAGTTGACAGCATCCGGCTGCAGATCTCGAACCCAGATCTCAAAGATCACATGGTGGAGCAGTTTAAGGAGCTCCATCACATCTGGCAAGCCCAGCAGCAGCTGCAGTCTGTGGCCCATGCCCCTCCCATGGCAGGCTTGGGTGCTGACCAGGGGTCCTGGCCCATGCACCCTGTTGGCATGCAATAGCCAGACTGCAGGTGGTGGCTGTGTAGACTGATGAGGCAGTATAGTAGCCCCAGCAGGACTGGCTGGCTGCAGAGTCCAACCTTTGGGTCCCCTTGAAATGGATTTAGGCCAAGGATAAAAAAAAGACTGGTGTGCCAGTTCTCCCTGCAGAGCTTTGTTTCGGGGCCAACTTCCTGGGCCTGCTTCTCCTGCGCCCTTTCTGGCCCTCCTCGCTCTGGTGAAAACCGGCCAGCAGTCTTTTGAGCAAGGAAAGAATGTCCCCAACTGCAGAGCCTACATGGACAGGGCAGACTGCCCCAGGGTGGCCCACTCTTGTGGTTGCTCCATTTGCTCTGGCAAAAAGAGCTGAAGAAGTGTTGTGGGCCGGGTCAGCAGGGCAGGGGCCTGATTTGGAAGTTCCCTAGTTTGAGCCTCACTTTTCCAGCTCCTGAGATGAATATAAGCCTTTAGACATCATTACAGCAACTACCTGCTGCCTTACCCAGAGTTTAAGAATGTGGGGTTAAAGAGTAGAATTTTCTGTATTTTTGGATTAAAAAGTTAAAAAACTGACGTGGCTTATTCTTGACTCTCCCCAGTGCTGTGCTTTCTGCACTGTTCTTCCAGCCTCTTTTGGATTCCTGTCCTCAGTGCCAGTCCTCTGGCTCAGGCCACTGGCACCCCCCCCAGCCCCCCAAGCCTTCCAGCCAGAGTCAGCTGGGCTTCACTGACACCCGCCTGGCTGCTGTGCTTCCAGGAGGAAGGTGGCTGAGGCAAGGCTGTGGGATTCTATGTGTGCAGTCTGAAAACCTGACCAGATTGCTGGTTGTCTGGGATCAATACAATGTTAACCCCATTTTTATATGCTTATTATGGTAGAATAAGATACGACATGCAAATTGGTACCGCACCATTTGAATCTGGCTCACAGGTGTACTTTTATAGCTTGAATCTTTCATTGCAGTTTTATCATATTTATTTGTTGGTTTTTATGAGAATAGGATGCTGCTCTCTAGTTCAGGCTGGCCTGGAACTCACCATATAGCCCAGGCTGCATTTGAGCTCATCTCAGCCATCCTGCCTTGGCCTCCCGAGTGCTGGGATTACAGGTGTGTGGCACCACACCAACTCTTTATTATGTAGAATTTTAAACTTTTGCAAAAATGGAAAAAAATCATACCAAATCCCATGTAAGCTGTTCATTGATCATCTTTTTCACCTAAACACCTACACCTTCCTTGGTGTTATTTTGAAACAAATCCTAGAAATAACATTTTATTTTAAATATTAAGCATACATCGCTAAAAGATAAGGACTTTAAAAAAATTTTATGTGGTGCTGGAGATCAAACCAAGGGTTTCACACATGCCAGGCAGGTACTATCTTCAAGGTAAGACAATACTAAAAAAAAAGAAAAAAAAATTTGGGAAAAAAAAGGGGGGCGGCAGGGAGATATCTCAGTAGAATAAGCACTTGCCTGGCAAATGCAGAGTCTTGAGTTCAAACTCCAGTACCACACACACACACACACACACACACACACACACACACACAAACAAAAACAAAAAACTATTTGTTACCACACTTCATGTGAGGGAGGTAGAGGCAGTAAGATCGCTGAGAGTTTGAGGCTAACCTGGGCTACGTCATCAGTTTGAGGCCAGCAAGACCCTGTCTCAAAAAACAAAACAAAAAATATGTGTGAGGAAGTAGGAACTGAATTTGAGCATGTGTTTTGTTTGGTTTTTTGAGGCAGGGTCTCACTGTGTAGCCCAGGCTAGCCTTGAACTCACGCTGATCCTTCTGCCTCAGCCTCCTGAGTACTGGGGTTGTGGCACTGACCTACATCATCAGTACCTGAAGAAATTCATTTTTACCAGAAATCCAGACTTTAAAATGTTAAGACAATTTGAGTTTTACATTGCAGCTCTTTTTTTTTTTTTTTTTTTTTTTTTTTTTTTTTTTTTTTTTTTTGTGGTACCAGGGATTGAACTCAGGCCCTTGCACTTGTCAGGCAAGCACTTACTCTACTGAGCCATCTCCACAGCCCTACATCGCAACTCTGTTAACACATCGTTTCTTGTATTTGCTGCTTGGATCTGGCCTCTAGATCCTACAGGCTTACTTGGATGCAGATTTCTATTTTAAGTATCTATTTGAATTTCCATTATTAGTGACTAGTTACAATGCAGTGAATAAATAGGCTTATGCAGGGCTGGGGAGATAGCTCGGCAGTCTAAGGGCCTGCCTGGCAAGCGCAAGGAGCTGGGTTTGATCCCAGCAACTACATGCCATGCTAGCCCTGCACCAAGCCGACCACCAAAACCAGGTGTGGTGGTACACACCTGTAATCTCAGCCCTGAGGCGATTGAGACAGGAAAATCACTGAGTTCCAATCGAGTAGCAAGATCCTGTACCAAATAAAATATTTTAAAAATAGGCTTATGCGGGCTGGTGAGATGGCTCAGTGGTCTAAAGCACCTACTTAGAACAAGCTAAGATAAGCAAAACGCAGGGACCAAGGTTCAATCCCCCAGCACCACATGCCAGCCAGCCCCGCCCCCTGGTGGGCTGAGCTGGCCACACACACATAAAGTATAAAATAAAAAAAAAGAATAGGCTTATGCATATTTTGTGGTTTTTTAAATTTTTGTCAATTATCTTTATTATTCAGGGATATATCCCTGAAAATTGGATCTTGGGCCAAAAAAACCATGTCATTTTGCTAGGTGGTGGTAAAAAATACATAAATATGGATGAATGTCCTGTTTCCCTACAGCCTCACCTACACAATATACTGTGAACTATTTGGACTTCTGTCAGCTTGGCAGGTGAAAAACAGTATTTTAGTGCCTTTCTCATTGTGAGCCAGACAGACTTGGCATCTTTTCATATCAAGTGCCCTGTATAGATTTAAAAAACAAAACAGGGCTGGAAGTGAAGCTCATTGGTTAATCACATACTTTGTTTTAAAGCCATGGGTTTGATGGTTAGGATGCTAAATGAATAAAAATGTAAAACTTTAAATTATGGAAATATTGCTAAGAAG